CTAGTTGACTAAAACACAGTGAAGACAAGTTAGTTTGTACAGACCAAATGTCACCTTTATGTTATTTAATATGGTAACATGAGTGCACGTGAGCCACGTCGTTGTAACTTCTGTATTGTTAGCCAGGCATAGGTGAAAGGTCAATATAAAAAATAATAAATATATATAAATGTATAATCTTATGAGATTTAAGCTATTTCATCTAAACATTTATGTTTTCGTGTTATAATTTGTGTTTATTCTAGAATGAAAGATGCATAATTTATGTTTATTTCCTAATTTGTTATGGTGGTTGCGAGATCGGTCAAATTTACCGAACCCGTATAGAGATTCATAATTGAAAATAACAGATAAAATATAATTTTTTTAAGAAACATTTGGTAACTATTTGGACATTATAAATTTTGAAATTTTCTGATGCATAAAAAGTATTTTTAATGTTAAGATAAAAATTATTTTGCATGATAGATAGACAAATTGTGAAAAGAAAAAATACATGAGAGAAACATTGCTTTAAAAACCTTAAGACTTAATAAAAAAATTAGATATTTAGCATATGAAAGCATTGTAATGTTTTCTGATAAACTGCCAAATTTCGTTAATATTTGCTTACTAATTTAAAAGTTATAGCACGAAAACTATAACAAACACATAATGGTTATGAGGTCAGTCCCAGGGACTGAGCCCATGTTGAAAGAGTTAAAATAGGGTTTTGTGGTCACCCATTGCACTGTCACCAGTAAAAGATCTTTCTGGACTGATGAGGATGTAGCCACTTTCCTCTGGGTCTCCCCATTGTGAATCCTCCTCCCTTCATTGAGTGGAAAATGGAAACCCTTGCCCCTCTCCAGTTCCTAGCCACTGGAGTGCTGGGCCATGGAAAATCCTCATTAGAAAGTGCAGAAAGTGTCTCTTCAGTGGAGTTAAGATGAGCACTCACTATATATATAACCATACAATGTGTTGTGCCTTTCTCCTGCAACTGTTGTCTGTCCAGTTGAGTTGAGGTGTGCACATTATATCCAAATTCCATTGGCACGAATGCTGTTCCCTCCTCCCACAGCTGGAGTTTATTCCATATAGTCTGTTGGAAAAGAGTTCAGGTGAGAACACCAGGTACCAGGGGACAAAATATCTGGGTTTGCATCGAACATTATGTTTGCGAATCAAAACAATCAATCAGTTGTGAATCACTTTCCTCATTGTTTAGCATTCCTTTCTCTTGTATGTTGTCTTTGAGACTTCCAAAGCTGATGTTCATTTCTTGGAAATTCCTGCAAAATGGCACATACAGTATTTTCACACCTTGTCATGTGCATATCACATACACATACACTTTGTAATACTCTGTTCATTATGTTTGGAATGCACCCAGTCAGTGCCAGCAGCCTAGCCAACTATACTAGACTATTTTTACTTGTATATGGTTTTAATACTATAACTTTTAACACAGTATGTGTATCTTCACACAGGTTGGTAGACTTTTATTAAACATTACAAGTGGTTTGTATACAAAGTCAGTTTTTTAATGAAGTATTTTTACTATAGATTTGTCTGTGAACATATCAAGTCTTTTTTGTTACCACTCCAACTGAAAATTGAGTAATCTCTAAAACCACCTAAATACATTTCAAACATGTTTTTTTCAGTAAAACTTTATATTTTATATGTTTTTCTCTATGCTAACTGTATACAAAGTTGGTCAATTTAACTGACCTCGTAACCACCAAAAAAATTGAAATAAATCTAAATTATCCTTTTTTACTTTCTAGAATGACTTCAACTTGTAACATAAAACTACATTTGTTTATCCTAAGTAACTTTAAACTCAACTGTATACATCTATTTATATTTAAATTTTTGCACTTTGAACCATGTCTAACTGCTAGTACTATTCGCACCATTATATTACAAGTTGTTAATCACTTGGGTAACGCGTGGCTCATGTTACATTATCAAATTACATTACCCACGAGCAAAGCCAAGCTGTTTGTGTGCAGACCTCGTGAAAATTTTTTATTATATTATTTTTATTTATTTTACCTAATTTAACCTTAACTAACCTAAAGAGTTATTTCCTTTTATAATAATAAATAAAGAATACACATGAAAAATGAGAAATAAAGCACTTACCTGAGCTTTCTTTTTATTTGCTGTCGATGACAATTAACTCTACTTTTTTTTAAACTAATGGCAGTTGTACACTAAATAATTTTTATTTAATTAAATAATGCACCAAAGAACACAGAATAATAACATGTCACAATTTTTTGGCTTTCTAACTATGTGACAAGAGCTGTTACAAATTCATACGAGCTAGCTGATGTGTTCCCATAGGAATGAAGCTTGTATTGAAAGAGGAATCAACATAATATGTCATATAATATAATACATCATTTGATAGATGAAAACCTTGGCTTTCTATTGGTTAAAAATAATATGTTATTAAAAGTAAGAGAGAACTATTGACAAATTCTGAAAGAGAGGCTGTGACAGGTGGATGTGGCACTAGGGGGTCTGATTTTCTATTTGATGGCTCTGTAGCCAAACAAAATAGAAGGCTATGAAAATTATGCTTTATCTGAGTGATGACAATATTATAATAAGTAATTTACGTTAAATCTCTTACTTCTTGAAGGGGTGATAAATAAAATAGAGAAGAAGGGATGCCTAGAGAAAAAATTTCATATTTCTCACACTAGGGGAGATTCAGGATTTTTTTATATTGCCTTATAAAATTATAAACTTAAAACTTGTATACTATTAAAATATGGATTATTAGCTAAAGTTTTACGGTATGGTACAATTAAATATTAGGGTTTGTAGCTGAATAAAAGTGTTATTAGAATAAAAACATACCATTTTCCTCGTTTTCATTAGTGGAAATCTATACAAACAGTTAAGACTTTTAGTGCTGGATTTAGTTGCCATAATATGTTAAAAAGATGCTAAACAATATATGCTAACCAAATTCAGTATTGATTAGCAGTTTCTGTTTCTCCTAATCAAATCCACCAAACTATTTTGTTCCTCTGGGTACAGTCTAATCTCACCCAAACCACACTACACATATTGGCTCTCCAGCCACTTGTGTGCAAATACTCAAATGTTCATGTTCTAACCATCTCTGCAACACACGGGGGTCATTTGCTTCTTCTCCCCTTACCATCTGGGCAAAGATGAGATGTAGTCCCCTGTGAGTGTGCCCTTATGGAGCCCCTGCCAGTAGGTATCACACTACATGAGCTTCCTTTGAGCACTTTCTGAGGGGAGCTCATCTAGGTAAACTTTTCACCAACTCAGTGTGGGATTCTAGCTAAACTTTGTGAATAGGTAAGGTATATTCTTGAAAGTTAGTATTTTCCAATAGATACTCACCTCTCACACACATTCCCATTCATTCTCCCCACTTCCAGTGCACATTTCTTTTACTTGGCTCATTGAAGAATGAAGTTACCGCAAGTGTATAGGGTGGAGCTATTACTTATGGAGATGTTTTGCCGTCCTGTTGGTGGAAGGCTTTTGTTGCATGATGATCATTGATATAACAGTCATCTCTTATAATTTTTGCTTGAAAGTTTTTATGTATGTTTTGGCAAGTTATATCATATTCATAAGTGAATATTTTCTTGCAGAAGTTTCTGGATAATACAGTAGATTTCAATAAAAACTTTTGTTAAAAGGATTTGCTGCCAGACTGTAGTAGAAGCTATCATGAAAAATTTTAATATCATAAAAATTTATGTTAAACTGTGCACTTCTGTAGATTGCCATCTTAGTTAACAGCTGTAATTTTATATCATCTTATACTTGGATTTTATAAAAATTGACACTAGTGTGAAAATGATAAAATAGTGAAAAAGTCACTGATAAATGTCATTTTCAGTGTAATACTATTTATAGATATTTATATATGTTGTGTTATAAGTAACACTGTTAGAAGAGGTACAGATATTTTACAAGATGAATTAAAAGCTGTTCCCTTAATATTTGTGTTCTGAGCTATAGATTAAATTCTAACTTTCACTGGCTCATTGATTATTTATGTAAGATTAAGAGATATATCTGTAAATGTTACATTTTATTGATGTAATAAAAAATAATAATAATTCACAATTAAATAACCCGTTAAGTATATGTTGTTCCAGTGGAACTTTGAAAAAAGGACAGAGGCTTCAATATAGAAGCTTAAATATCATCCTCTCTTCATTTAACAAGCACTTGCAGCCAATTAAAGTTCTCTACCTATTGCATAATATTACATCAGTTTCACTAGAAATTAAGTATGCATGTATTTAAATATACTACCCAAAATTAATTATTGATAGTCATGTAGCATTTAACTAAAATGTATTGTTTAATATATATCCTGAAATTTAAAGCATAATATTGCATCAGTTTCAGTAGAAATTAAGTATGCATGTACTTAAACATACTAGCCAAAATTAATTATTGGTATTGATGTAGCATTTAACTAAAATGTAATTTCAATTGTTAATTAAGATGAGAGTAAATATGCAAAAACATAGTTTATCAGGCTGTGAACAAGGAACAGCCACCTAATATGTCATTTATCTGATGAGGGAGTAGGAAAACTTAATCTAGAGACTTGTATTAATAAGTATTGTGCAGAAAAGATTTGAATCTGTGTTGTCTATTAAGATGGACATAAACTAATTTTTCATATTCTTTAACCATGGTGTGACTGCAGACATTCAAAAGTTATGTAGGAGATATGACATGTTAAAAGGCCAATATATGTCTGCAGTTTGCCATGTTATGAATGATCCTAAGGCAATAAATTTAACCTTTAATAATAATAAATGATTTAACAGTTGTAATTAAACTGTTTGCAAAAGATGTACCAACAGTTTGTTGATCCATAACTTATTTTGCTCTGGCTGTGTAGTTATCAGTACATATATATATTTTCTTGTAAATGACGAGAAAACTTTGGGAAAAGTGTACAAATTATGGCAACTTTTGTATCTCTACCAAAGACACCATGCTGCTGAAATGAAAAGTGTTGTTCCTGACAAGCCACTTCTCTTTTTAAAACCTCCCACTGCATTTATTACAGAAGGAAATCCCATCAAAGTAAGTGGTTTTGAATGTCCATTTATTCATGGATAATGGTTTTATGGAGAGATTTGTAAATTAAAATGTTCAAGTTTCCATTCCTCAATGGTAACTGAGATATCCTAGGTTACAGTTTGACTGTGAGCTGAACGTGCTAACAGATACCTGATTAATAAGTCATTGCTGAGAGAACAGCAATTTCCAACATTATATATTCACCAAATTTTGTTTTATTTTGATGAAATATAAACCACATACAAATCAGAAAACTGTCTTGAATTATGCAAAAATTCAACTTTCCTTAAACTTTGATCTTATTTTCTGTGTGTGTGTAAGATTTTTAGTGCCTCTTTTAAAGGAAGTGATTTTTATGTGACTGTTGAGTAAACAATAAATCTTTAAGGTCTTATATTTAATGATTAATAAAAACATTTTGCTTTTGTATAAAATTCTCTTTGATAAATCTTGATTTTTGTTTTGTCTCCTTTTTATAGGCTGGATAGGCTGCACAAATTGGCTTGTAGAATAAATTTAATTTATTTGTTTTGATTTTTTAAAAGAAGAACAAGAAGTGATATAAGTTAGGTTTTGAAAATATTGGACAAACCCGGGATGTCTATTAGAAATCATTTTTGTCAGTTAGGGTTGGTAATAGTGACTTGCGTGGTGTGGAACACTAGACCCATACCTGATAGTGTATAGAATTTTTTTTTCTGCAATATGAACTTGTGGATTAGTTTTCCAACATTTTAAGGTTTGCTATAGTTGGATTTATTTTAAAACATTTTTTGTATTAATATATAAATATGGATTTGAAGATCAGTGTGAAATAACTTCTTGTTTACATTGGTTGTCCTTACATTCTATTATGTACTCTTGAATACTGTTTGAATTATTTTTTTTTAGTTTTAATAACTACTATATTTTACTCTTCCATAACTAAGACAGACATAATTTAATCAACAAGGTTTAGAAAAATGTCACATTTGACACATGTAGTTATCTATGAAACATGGTACAGGTTTTGTGGAAATTTGTATTTACAATGCTAAAATTTTGGGTTTGATTCCCCACAGTGGACAGAATGCACATGGCTCAGTTCTTTAGCTTTGTGCTAAAAACAGCAAAATCCAACTAAAGACATGGTGCAAAAGGTTTGTACATATAAGCACAAGCTGGCTAGTCTTCCAGTTTCCTTTGTCATATATTAGAATGACCACTAGTGTTGGTAATCGAGGGTTGTGTCATACTGCACTAGTATGTAGGTCTGACAGAAAGTTTTTTTCCCATTTAGCTCCAACAGCTATGAAAATTTAATGATATGAGATGCTAGCCAGCCAATAAAGTATATCAATACAGTAAGTATTGGATAGTCAGATCAGTGCTTTCTATTTCAACAATGACTTTTTTTATATTTCTTGCTTTACATTGTCTCAACTTCATTCATTGTGTAGTTTGAGTTCAGTTAATTCTTATGGAAACAAAAAATTTCCAATATGGTACTTACCTCTGATCACAAGATTAGCTATTCTTGTTCAGTGCTGTCCTCTATATGCAAACTTTTTCATTACATATGCCACAAGCTTTGCGTTGCCCCCTTGTTGGAATTACTATATTCCAACATGTCTCTCATGCAAATCACCATGCGTCATCTTTTAACCAATAGTAGCATGACTTGTTCACATGATGCATGCAACTACCTCTGTACTCATCTACAAAACCTTCACTTCTCATTTGACAGTGCTCGTGTTCACGGTTCGAATTTTGCTCTCGTGTGCTTCATCGTCACATTTTTTTTTAAAGTTTTATTGCCACTGGGGTTTTCTACTCCTTTTTGCTTATATAGCTGAGGAATTTATTTTCAATTACTTTCCAGTCTTTTTTTATTGGACATTGTCTTATCTATCAAACACATCTACTAAGAGCACTCTTTTGCCATTGCTGCAGGTGGGGGTGACCTGTTGTGGGATTTACCGGCAATTTTTCCCAAGGCGATTGAATATTATGTGGGTCTAACACCTTCTCCTGATGTTGCCCCACTTCCTCATGAACAATCCAACCCTGTTTTTTCTGGTGAAGACTAGATAGCCTTTTCCCACTACTGGATTTTGCTGTGTCTTCCACTGCACCACCTGCTAATCAGCTAGGTCTTCTATGGTGCTTTTGGCTGTATTTCTCAGTTATGTGATGTTTTATCCCTTTCCCCAGATATTAGGATTCATGCTGTGCACTTTGCTTCCCATTTAGTTGTGTGTGCCAGCATGCCTCATCCCTTCGGGCTATGGATTGGCTTGCTTTGACATACCATCATGCAGACTGTCCATTTCTAGAATCTCAGTTATTTGGGTCTATTTTGCCTGTATGGGGGGCTTTCCCTGATTTTACGGTGCATTCTCCCATGCCTAGTTTTCATGCCTTGTCTTACCCTTACTTCCCTTCTATTATATTTATCTACCATACTCCTTTCTGAGGCTCTGCATGGACATCCTAAAGGTTTTTCCAGGGACAGCATATCACTTCTTAACTCCATGTGGGCTTCTGTGCTATCCTCAGCTCTCACCTTCCACACATGATTTCTCCATTCTTTGGGTTTTTTCGGTTATACTTGTTCTCCAGTCCCTTTCCCTCTACCTCGGGATCCTTTTACCAGCCAGTGTTGGGTAGAGGCTGTTCACAACCTTCTGTTTCCACTGAACTTTGAAACTTTTTTTTCTCCAGGTTTCGAGATGACCCAAATGGTTATTGCGACTGTTTCATTACATATCATGTTTGCTCACTTGTCACGACCATATCTGTGGTTTGTCCTTGGAGGGGTGATTTCTCAACTCCGCATATTCCCTTTAGGCTTGCTTCAGCCTTGTATGTTATTGTTGAGTGGATCGAGCTTTCGCTCATTCGACTTTGTGTGTTGAAGCTTTCAGTTCCATGTTCTTACTGCTCCCCCTCTTACAGATCTCGAGCTTATATCACTTTTGGGGATGTGGTCTTCCATGACTACACTTCTTCTCTTGGGTTGGGTTCCTATGTGAGCTCTTCATGAATAATGGTCTCTTCCACAGGCTCCTTTGCAAGCTCTTATTACCCTTCCTCCTACCATAGTCGACCATCGGCATTGGTGATTGGACAAGCCCCACACAACAGCAAGTGTCCTGCTTCCTCCTCGTTTAGATTTCCTTCTTTTTACAGATGCTTCTCTTTATAGATGGATGTGGAGGGGAGGTCGATCACTGAGAAGCTTCTAGGTGTTGGTTTGTGACCAAGAAATCTTTTCAACTCCACACTGGTGCTTCTCGCAGTTAATTGGGCCTTGGATCATTTCCTCCATCGTCTGGTCATGATTCATCCCAATAATTCCAATGTGGTTGCTTACCTCATTCTCCAAGGTGTCATCTGGTCTGGATCCCTGTGTTTTCACACATTGCATCTTCTTTTCTGGATCCACATGTAGGATATCCATATCATAGCGTATCAGGTGCCGGGTGCTTTCCATTCTGTCACAGATCATTCTTCCCACCCAGACAAACTCTATCTAATGGAGTGGTCTCTCGATCCTCTGATTCTTCAGTGGCTTTTCCATCATTGGGGTATTCCTCACATTGATAGATTTGTCACATCCATCAACTACAAATTCCCTGTATTTGGTCTCCAGTCCCTCATTTGCTTATCCTGACTATTGATGCTTTCAGTCAGGATAGGACTAATAATTTCCTATATATCATCCTCCCACTTGAGTCCTTCTCCAGGTGATTTAGATCTTCCATACTTCATCACGTCAGGTCCTTCTGATTGCTCTTTACTGGTTTGGCTCTATCATGGTTTCCATGCTTTCTCCAGTTCCACCTTACCCCTCTGTTACCCCTTCCTCTGTCTCTCTTTCTGCTTCAACAAACTCGGTCATTGGTGCTTCATCACATTCTTCCTGTCCTTCCTCTTCATGCTTGGTTTTTATCCAGTTTTTGTCACTTCTCTTCTGGCCCATTCCATCAGCCCTTCCTCCATCGAAGTTTATTTACATCAATGGAATGTTTTCCACAGTTGGTCCCTGGGCCGGGGTCTAGCAGCCATTCAGACTACTGTTATTTGTATTGTGGAATTCTTACTATGCTTTTTGATTGGGGTTCCTCTGTTGCCTTGATTTCTGGTTATCTCACACCTTTCTTCCACACCTACCATTTTCCCAGATACTTTCGTGTTTTCCTTTCCTACTGATGTGTGCTAGGTTATTCTGACTGTATACTTGCAAGTCACCTTTTAAAATTCAATCTAAAATATATAATTTATTTGAGATTTTTTTTGTACTTAAAAATATTGCAGAATTGATATTTTAGTAATACATAATACTTCTGTAGTTTTCAAAAATAAATAAAATTTTCATGTGTGTTGTGTTACACACCTAGATTTTTATAACATTTTTCTGGTTTCTAAGTTTATATTTATATCTCTCAATCATATCTTGTTACTTATAGTTAGCTTGAAGTTTATTTTGTGATTCTAAACTTTCTGCTTGTTTATTTATGAATTTGTTAGTTGAACTCTCATTTATAGAGAAGTTTTGACTGAAAATGATAAGATACTGAAGCAGTATCATTTGGTCTGGCTTCTGTACCCTACATATTCTATCAGGCGGTCATGGCCTTTGGTCGACTTATTCATTGTCATGAACTGCAGTTTCACCATTATATGGATGACTGGCTGCTTTTAGCCCCATCCTAATGAACATTTTACATGCACACACAGGTGGCTTGTGTATTGGCTTGTCAAGCTGGAGACGACCTTTCTCATCCCAACCCAATTCCTCATCCACTTGGGAGTGTTCTTTAACTCTTCAGTTGGGCCCAGCATTTTCTTTGGGTGAGATAAATGGAGCTGTTAGATCTCAAAGCTCAAACCTCTCCTTCTCTTACTACATGTGAAGTTCTTTTTCCTTTGGGGCTTAGACTTCCATGGAAGGTCTCATTCCCTTAAGTTATGCTCATGTGTGGACCCTTCAGTATGTGTTGCACAATCAATAGAATCTGGCTCAGGATCCCATGGATTCAGTTATCCTACTCCTTCCCTCACTACAAGTCAATTTTGCCTTGTGGCTCAACAGTGGGCATCCCTGTTCTGCCTCCCTGTCCCAAGTTACATATTTTCTTCTTAAGGTTGGGGATCAATTATGGATTCCCAGGAAATCTTAGGTCATTGGTCTAGTCAGCTCTGTACACCAATATTCTGGAGCTTCTTGCCATTCTTAGCTTTGGATCATTTCCTACCTTTAGTATGAGGAATGATGGTCATGATCCATTCCAACAATTCCAACATTTTCTCTTACATCAGTTGACAAAGGGGCACCTGTTCACATTTACTTTGTTTTCAAACATTAGATCTCATGTTTTGGTCCATTCACATCACATACACTTTCTAGCATGTCATGTTCCATGTTGTGCAGCCAGTGGGGTACTCCACTTATGGGTGCATTTGCCACCCACCTCAATTCCAAGCTACCCTCTTTTGGTCCCCATTTCCACATCCTTTAGCTTTGACAGTAGACGTCTAAAGTTAGGATTGGTCCAAACTTTAGCTTTATGCATTCTCTCCCATCTATCTCCTTCCCCAAGATTTAGCAATTATACAAGCCACTCTGTGCTGAATCCTTCTCATTGCACCTTTCTGGCCTGCCTAACCTTGGTTTCAAGTTTGTACCCTACTTCAGTCATCATCTCCATTGCCACTTCCTCTCTTCCACTCCCTGCTTCAACAACCAGTCATCCATGTGTCATTCTGCCATCACTATACTCTGGCTTCATGCATAATATTTGTTTAGTCCCTTGCGAGGCAGTCTGAACTCTCCACGCATGTAGCATCCCTTCTTTCCCCTTTGGTCTATCCTTCATCCTTAATGGTATATCAGAGAAAAATTAGCTTTTTTCACCATTTTGCCATAGTTACCTACCTTCACGTCCAAGCGTTTCTCGTGTCTCAGAATGTTTTAACTGGCTGTTTGACAGTGTTTCTTCTATGTCTACCATTGCTAGTTACCAGGCAGTCTTATCCAATACCTTTCATTTTTCCCATTCTCAGAGAGTGTTTTCATCTCCTGTCCTCTCCTTCTTGTTTTGCTCCTTTCATCTACTTTGTTCACCTTGGGACCTCAGTGTAGTTAGTTTTCCATGCCTCTAGCCAATTGCCTTTTGAACCCTTGGCTACCCATTCTTTATACCACTTGTCCTTTAAGACTTATTTTTTCTTCTTTTTGTCTGTAGTCATCATAGGTCAAGTATTTTCACCCTCAACAGTTCACATATCCTTTACCACTGCACCTATGTTCTTCTGTATTTGGATTGCAGTTTTTTCCAAAAAGTTTGGTGGCTTGTGAGGGTGATGTCACTTTCACACCTATTTCCCTCCCTTGCATTTACCATTTATATTCCTGCACTGATCTGGATCATCTTCTATGTCCCGTCCATGCTATTCCGTTCTATAATGTCCACACATTTTCTTTCCATGGTTCCAGTTCCTACCTGTTTATCCATTGGAACCCTTCCTCTTCCAAAGATCTTTCTCCAATCTTCCTTACGGATTAGATTCACTAGCTCATAAAGTTGGCTTTTTCTTCATTATCTTCCGATTCCCAACTTTTTTTTCTAGGTATCCTCAAATCCTCATCAGGATACTGAATTCCACCTGTTGCCTTCTTCCACACCTCAGTTTAACTGTGAGTTGGTATTTTCTTTTTCTTTACTTCCATCACAGTGGCCAATTTTACATATTGAATCCCAGTCTTTGGTGAGTGCTGGTGTTTTGCATCAGTCCCAGACCATACCAACTTATCAATTATCATGAGTAAAGCAGTGTCAAAATAGCTGTCCATCCCTCTTGCCTGCTTTTAAAAACAGGATTTCATGGTCAGCCATTGCACTGTCTTCACTGTTGCATTCCTTCAGACTCTCCACCATGTTGTTTCCCCTCTATTTGAATGGAGTACTGGAGTCCTTGCCACTTACTAGCTCCTAGCTGCTGGTTTGGTGGATCATGGAGGCATTCTCCTGAGTGTGCTCAATCCCTTTCATCCTACCACCATCAGGTGGTCTGGTGTTGGATTAGAGCTGGAATAGCCAGGTTTTGGATTTGAGTGAACCACCACATTGCATTCCCCTTTCCTACCATTGCTTGGATGTTGGGATCCCAGGTGGCCTGGTGTTGATTGTGTTATGGGTTTGCACACACATTCCCTGCTTTTGGCTGTTGGAGCAGAAATAATTTTCTATTCTGCTTCCTAAGCTTGAGGTGAAAACAGTTGTGGCTCTCCTCCTACCATGGAACAGATAAGAGATGCCTTATGCCACCTAGTTTTAGAGTGGAGTTGACCCATTGATTATGGATTATGGTCTGGTGTACCCTAGCCATTTTACACTATATTATGCATCCAATTGAGTATTGGATGTGCTTCTTTCCACCCAAATTAGCAACATGTATCTTAATGGGCAAAAAGTATACTGGGTATAGATTTGGTGCTATCACCCATGGGTGTATTCCTCTGCAGAGATGTCACATTCCATGGGCTCTCTTTGTATGCTTTCCAAAGGGGACTCATCTAGGGTAAATTTTGCACCAGTCCCTCTACCAGTTCAATTTGAGATTCTAACTTATGTGAGAGGAGGTAAGGTATTGTACTGGAAGTTATAATTTGCCTACACTGAAAATATATTTCAATAGATACTTACCTCTGTTAACACTTTCCACCCTTCCTCCCCACTTAAGATGCTTTCTTATTGCCTAATCTCAAAGTGAAGATTGGGTTCTACAGTATAGAGGAAGTCAGTTGCACCAGAAGGGTTTGTCGCACTACTAATGGTGGAGGACTGTCACATGCTTATTTGCATACTACAGTACAACTGTATCACATAGGGTAGGTGGGAGTATCAAGAGTAGTGGTGAGCAAAAAATTGTGCATATAGATGGTACCACCAAACAAGAAAAGCTATTATGTGAAGGAGGTATCTATTTGTTGCACTAGATGACTAAAAGATGTGCCTGTAGCCAAAAGGACCAAATTTGGCCAAAGGTCAAAAAGTACATGAAGCAAACTCTGAAATTCCACAAGAGTAAGCCAACATGCCAATCAGTTGTGAACTTTGCAGCGTACACACAAGATGCTCTGATGACAGCAGAACTGAATATTTTTGTGTCAGTTACCAAAGTCTTGGTGCCCGTCTTACAAACATTCCAAACAGACAAGCCAATGATGCCATTTTTTAGCTGAGGTGTTTCAAAGTATCCTGTAAACAGTTCTTTCCAAATTTATAAAGAAGTCAGTGCTTGATTCTCCTAGTAGTGTGTAAAATTAGATGTTCAGAACAAACACTGTTGTGTCTCAAAACAAAGTATAAGTTGAATTTGCTACCAAGCAATTCATTGACCAAGCAGATAAGACAATCAAACCAGACAACTACATTCAAAAAGACTACTGCACCTCAAAAAGGTCTTTCTGAATTTACAGAGGTGGAAGAGGGCAAAGAATCATCACGGCTTCCATGACAGCTACTTCCAGAGTACCAGTGTTTAGACCTAATCACAAAAAGTTACAGATATATGGATATAAGAATCTGAATCTCAAGGAGATTGCCACCTGGGAGCTCTGCAGCCAGACATAAACCACTTGCTGGATAGTGGCTTTTTCACTTTTCCTCTGCACTGAAGACTTAAAGTGAGAGTGAAAGGTAGACAGAGGTCCCAGGATATCAGTGAAAACCAGGAGGTTGTAAGATGCAAGTAGTAACCATAGTATAGTTCATTTGGTTTTTAAAGGGTTGATATATAGCTTTCATGTGTTGTGACTTGGTTTTATTTTCATTTTATTCGTTTAGTTATTTCTCTAGTAAAATGGCTTTGAAATTTCATGATGTTAAGGCCTTACCTTATTTTAGTTGTGAAGTTTTAATATATTATTTATTTTTTCTACCTGATTTGATGCTAGGGTCTGATCTATTGTGCCTGAATTTGTCTTTCATAACTGAACTTCTTGAATTTTATTAGATCCTCAGGTTAGCAGTGTTTTTGTATACTGCTCTCTACCAGTGGAGTTCACATAGTCATCATATTGTGTGTTTGTTTTTCCCTGCTACAACACTTAGTATTAAGAACTGGCCAAAAAATACGTATTAACAAACTGAGGGTTTATAATATAAATCTTGAGTGCAAGTCATTTGTAATTTTTGCAGTCTAAATAATGTAGTATTATTAGAATCCTATTTGTCCTTTGTGGAGTAAAGTTGTTCTTCATCTAGCTTCAACAGCTGCAGAGATATACATTGCTGGCTAGCCATATATAGTAAGATCTTGGCATGTGAATAAATATTTCTATTTTACACATGCATCAGCTTTTTGCTCTAAGAAGTCATTTTATTTTTCTGTAATCATTTTTTACCTCTCATATCATGGACTTTTGAGCTTTAAAAATCCAGAAAACATCTAAAATGGGACAGAAGAAATATCCAATAAAGAAAGTTTTGTCACTATTAATGTGGCATCATCAGTCACTTAGAACAACTAAACATGTTTCTTGACTTACCTATTTATTGCAACTTTAACTGCTAATGCCACAGTAATTTTTAGTAACGAAAATGGTATCTGGAGTTTTAGTTTTTTGACAAAATTATTGTATTCTTTCTTTTGAAAAAGTTGCATGTAAAATAAGAAAAGGAAGTGTTGATAACTTGTGTTTTATTAAACGTTATTATAAAAACCATCTAACAAACTGAATTTTATCTTCAATTTCTCTACCAACAAGGTACCCAGAGGATGTCATGAGCTGCACCATGAAGTTGAACTTGGTGTCATCATTGGTCGGAAAGGTAAAGACATTTCAGAGATTGGAGCAATGGATTATGTGGGTGGATATACTCTATGTCTAGATATGACTGCAAGAGATCTTCAGGAAGAAGCTAAGAAAAATGGTCTCCCTTGGACTGTTGCTAAAGGATTTGATACATCTTGTCCAGTTGGTTCTTTTCTTCCTAAAGAGCAGGTTGCTGACCCACATAATCTGCCCTTGTGGTGTAATGTAAATGGACAGATGCGACAAGAAGGTTCAACTGCTGACATGGTGTTCCGTATTCCTACTTTAATTAGCTATATAAGTAGTTACTTTACTCTTGAACCAGGAGATGTAATTTTAACTGGAACACCTGCTGGTGTTGGGCCTGTTCAGCCTGGAGATATAGTTGAAGCTGGCCTTGGAAGCTTAATCAGAATGTCATTCAAAGTCCAAGTTGAAGAAAAAAGTATGTAGTTCCCTTAGCAAAGTAAAATCTATTAATCAATTTGATAATGTTCACATACGAATGATGCTATTTAAATAATTCAGCTGCGCAGAACTCTAAATGCAGTTCATTAACTCTGTGGGTTTAGCTGCATAACACAACAGAAAATTATATGCAACATGTAGAGGGCTTCCATTCACTGCCTTAGAATTACTGTATTTTGCTGCATACTGAATAAAGGACGTGGTCAGTAAAGATGCTGTGCAAGTTATTTCTCAAGTTGCATCAGCCACATTACCATAAAAAAGAACTAACATTACAAAGAGTATAAAAAACAGAATGTAAAGGACAGAAAGTCATGAAATTATGCTCCAAATAGCATATGGTTTCATTGAAAGGTTTTCTTTACACCTAAATAAACTATTTTATCTTTACTATTAGTAACTCTTAAATGATACTTTTTTTACTTTGGCTGTATCATACCATTTTGTTTTGATTTCCTAACTTGGTGTTTTAGTAACTACACAATATATGCATGACAAATTTACCACACATATCTATATATAAACAAAACAAGGTACCCACAACAAACCACTTTTCACATGAAATCTTTTTCATCTCATTGAAGTAATGAGCTTTCTTTCATTTTTCAAAACTTTTGGAAATAAATATCATCACAAATCAATTTTTCTGTATAAACACACAAAACTGTATTACTCTAGAGAATTTTATAATTTATCATTTGCTAATAATAATCCTGGTGGCTTCACCAGGAACACAATCTGTGCAAAGCAATGTATAGAGTTAGGTCCAGTTAAGTTAAGAATTAGAATAAATGTGCTTCATAAATCAAGTGTTGATCACACATACACACAAAACAATATAAGTGTAACAGTAGTTTTTTAAGGTTTACTAGTTACAAGCCAGAAATTATAAAAGCCATAAAAAAAAATTGGATACTAAAATAAATTTTGAATACTATTGTGTCTGTATCGGCACTAGTGTGTAGAAGTTATTGCAGCATAAAGTAACATTCAAATAGATGTGCTAATACTAATTTGGTGGAATTATACATATATATATATTTATGGCTATGTGTTTTATTCTAGTTTTAACTTCACTTTGTATGTTAACTGTGAGATAAGGCTGCCAGGTGAAATATTGGACAGTAATAGAAAAAAACGGTATCTGAATTGTGTGAGATTGTTTTGTATGGGAAAATGACAAAAGTTTTTTTTATTAATCCTAAAATTGTTCTCATAATTATTGTCATAATTGATGATTAATTTATTAAACTGATCACATCTCCATTTCATCAGTATTTAAATATAGAATATGTTCAGCATCATTGTTAAAATTCTTGTGCAAGTAGGTTCTCTATGAATGGTATCTTGAAAGAGTATAATCCTGTAAGACTGATTGAGCAAATATTTTATTTAAAGAATTTAGTATATGTGTGTTTGTGTGTGTATATATATAGACAATTTTTTGTACAAAAGCTTTTGTGTGTGTGTGTTTTTGTTTTTAACTAACTGATGGACTAATTGTCACCAAATCTTTAGGAGAGACCCCACACACACACACCGGGAAGTGACATAAAGAAGTCAGTGTTTGGATCTGACCCCCATGTTTTCTCTGTGCAATGAACAGATAGGTCATCTAATATACAGTATATATAGACAATCAGTGTACTTCAAAGCACAATTTTAAAAAAATCAAACGAAAATTTTAAGTGGTTATTTTACTTACAATGTGCTACTCTAATGAGATATTTTATTCCAGGAATGTCCCTAGGTGGGACAGTGGTAAGTCTTCGGATTTACAATGCTCAAATCAAGGATTTGATTCCCCTTGGTGGACACAAGAGATAGCCCAATGTGGCTTTGCTATAAGAAAATGCACACACATTCCAGGAATATAAACATGAATAAGAGCAGCAAGTAGATGAATCTAAAAGAACTGTGAAGTAGAATGATACAAAATAAAATGAATCTAAAAGAACAGTGAAGTAGGGTGATACAGATTTACCAATGGTACATTTATGAGGATGCTATTAGTTACTTAGTAAATTTTTGTGTTTGGTTTCTATGTATGTGTGTTATAATAGCTATGAGACTCAAGAGCCATATTTAATCATTTGAAAAGCAGAACATTTTCAACTTTTCTAGAAAATTAAAGAAATTATAATGTACTGTTTACTATGCAATAAATTATGTAGTGTGTAGGTATTCTTTAATGAATTTTATGCATTATCAACCACCTATGTATGCATTGGTAAATACTGTAACTGATACATATAGATATGCCAACATTTCATATCAGGAAAAAATATTTTCTCCCCACTGATCAATATATTTATGTTGGTACATTACTTTCAATAGGTTGAAAAATTTAGCAGTGTAGTGGTATTTTCACCAGCATGACTAGGGTTTGTAAATGCCCTGAGAAATCCTATGAATTTGTAAGTTTAATGTCCAGGTCTGGAAGGTCCTTGAAAAATGTTAATATAGTCAAAAGACTTGGAAAGCTTCATCCAAATATTTTTAACCAAATGTCTTCAAATATCAGTAAATAAAATGTTTCTACTTAGGTTGCCTATTTTAAATCCTTTCTTGGAGGATCATCAACTTGTTATTTTGCCAGGATGGTGAATTAAATGTAATAACCATAGCTATTTATCAGCCTCAAAATTCTGTGTATTTAATTAGTTATTTACTGCTTGAACTCCCTGTGAATAGTATTCTAGATTCGCTGATAACCTTACTGAAAAGGATACTTAATACCATGTTGATGTCAAGGAAGGAAATGCTAATGGTTAAGAGATTGGAGGTAGAATTTCTGCACAAAGTGGAAAACTTCTTGTGTAGCTTCTGGGTCACTGTATGAAACTCTGAAAATATCATCAATTTATCTGAAATACAGTAGGGATCAGGTTCTATTAAAGGATGCAAACATCTGTTCTTCTGAATATCCAACAAAAAGGGTAGCATAGAAAAGCATCATATAGTATGAGCCACTGAACTGAAAAGTGTTTAACTTCAGCAAATTAAAAGTGTATGTGTTCAGAGATACTGTATTTCTCATTTGTTCAGAAAATGTTTTAAACCTAGCATATATTATGAGAGATGACTTTATAAAGAGAATGTATGTCCATGGTGAGGAGATTTTATAGATCAAATTATTATTTTGGTTACCACAATGGACATTTTTTATTATTATGTTTGGGTTCTAGAACGATGGATAAGACTCTCATGTCGCGATTGGTCTAGAGAAATCTATAGCCAATAGTTGTCAACATTTTAAGCATAACAAAATGTGACACAGATTTCAATTAAAATGATTATCTTATGCAAAAGTACATATGGCGTTTTGTGAAAAATCTTTACGTGATGGAGAAAAATTTATATAATTTTGGGATTTAGCGTACAGGAATTACTGTAAAACGTAAAAGTTTCAAGACAGTATAACCATCGCAGGCCTATGTTATCAGTGCCATCCTTCCAACATCATTATTTAACCTTAAGTAATAAAAAAATTAATTCATACAATGACTTGCCTGAGTCAGTAAAATGTTTGACAGTTAGCAAATCAAATCCTGTGAGGGGTTTGAGTTTAATGTGATGCCACAGTATCATTCACATTACTGAAGTGCAATATTAGATCAAAAACCACAAAATACTTGTACTCATATGAAAATATTGCAATATAAAGATTATAATGCTAAATGAATTATCCCACATTATTCCAGCAACGGAAAGAAAGGGTGGACGTTGTGGCTGATTCTTCCACGAAACTTTTATTACATTTGTCGAACTTGCACTGGAGTTAATTAGGGAATGTATTTACTCCAAACAGGTGAAATGTTACAACAGTAGAAGGGAGCATCATCTCTCTTATCTAGAATTTCGAATATAATTTTTCTTCCCATTTAGTTAAACTTTCTAAAGATATACCCACTTGCTGTTTCTTTCGCTATGAAAACGTTCAGATAGTTACTGAAATGTTCCTGAGAAATAAATTTGCAGATAATGTGAAACTTGAGAATTAAGCCTAACGAAAAAAAAATTGACTAAGCAGATAAAACTAGTTTATGGTCAACAAAACTGACTGATTCATAAAATAATTTTACGAAAGAGTAATAGAAATCTGTCCACCGATAATGAGCAATTTTCTCTATCGTCCTAGCATTTGTTAAGAAACTTAACCTTCAGTATATCCAACTGCTGCTTCTGAACCTAGACATTCCTCTTAAGTTAAACAGTAAATTTGTCTCTCATATATAAACAAATCTGTTATGATTAAGTGCAGTTCATTTCAAATATTAGAACCATATCACCCGTTACAGGGGAATTTATTGAAACAGTTCTTTATAATGGACTGAGTATTGAAATAGTGTAGTAAATTTAGCCATAAACCATCCACATTTTTCTTTTTTTCATGTTCTGTACCACTGTCCCGATTTTAACTGTTTGTTTGAGAGGTGACTTCGTGCTTGTCTAAAGGTTCAAGTTTTTAAAGGAACGTAGTTATATACTTTTGACTATTATTGTACTAACTACACAGGGGTGGAGGAAGCAATTTCGAATTGGTCAGGCAACTCTGAATAGTATGAAAAGCATACTAATGATGGTAGGGTCTTTGGGCATGCCCCCCCCCCAGGAAAAATTTAAAAAAATAGGTGCTCTGAGGTTGAATATAATGCTAATTTTACTATAATTTATTGCAAGTATTAATCATTTGCAAGCACTTCTTTATGATTCACAAAAATAGGTGCTCACTAGCACTTATACTCACCATAGCTATAAGCAAGCACAAGCATGTACACTTGCAGATTAGACATATAATTTATTATGCGCTGTTATACTGAATCATACATACTACTATAAGTCTATCTATTTACTTAGAAACAATTTTTGAAGATAGAATTGTCCGTCTATATCTTCAGTCTCTCTGTCTGCTATTATTCATACCGTCACTTCTTTTGCTGGCTTATATATACAAAAATAGAGGGCGCATAGAGAAGACTAGAGTTGCCACGAACAGACAAGATCCTTTTAGAATCTCATGACGTGTTACTAGCATCACGTGACGTCCGTAACAATATGTTTATT